TCTGGAACTGACTTGGTCGAAGTGTTGCTGTTAATGAGAGAGTTTTATAGTTAAATGTTTTGCTGGTTTGGGGTTGAGAAGGCAGAGCCTGCCTTGAGACAGTGAAGCACTGATTATGTTGTTCTCCCTGCTACTGACAGCACTATTGTTTTGGGGCTTGGGAAAGCCTTCAAATTCATGGTGTTTTTCAGTTCATGTTATTGATTTGGGGCAATGTCTTGGAGCTTTTTTAGAGCAGGTTGGCATTGCAGGAGTGGGAAGAGGTTGGGGCTGCACAGAATACACTGACATTAACTAGAGGAAGAAGTACAGAGCAGCTCTCTGGTACATCAGGAGGGAAGTGTGTAAGTGAAAGGAACTTTGATCCTTCTTTTGCCAGGTGTCCTTGTAGGTGTGGTAAGTTGTAAGCTGTTAAATATATTCTCTGAATTTACAAAATGCAAGGTTAAGAGAGAAGTTCAGCTACTCTCATGAGTTATTTGGATGTGAGGCTTTACCCCTAATCGCCCCTCTGGTGTCCAGCTGTTGCCTTGTGCCTGTTCTGTGTGCAGGAATGCATACATTAAGGAGGGCTAGCAGAGGTGGTTATCTCAGCTATCTTTTTACTTTTCTGCCCTTTATGGAGGTAAATACCAGAACCAGCAGAGTCAACACGTGGATGAAAATGACTGGCTTGTGTAGGCACAGTCCTTTAAGACAGTTGCTTTGGGAAGCTTATCCTTTGTGCAACATTATTTGCCATAATGGAGGGGTTGCAGCCTTGGTGTTCTGCAGCACTTCCCATCATTGCCAGATGCTGCAAGAGCTGCAGCTGTGAAAAATCAGCCTTTCTTTCTGCTGTTGATGAGGGCACTGTACCCCTTTCACTTCAGCTATGACTTGGCCATGGCTTCATGGAGTTCAGTGCAACAGCTGTTCACCTTATGACACCAGAAGTCCCTATGTGTTTCTTCCTGCACATGTGCTCTGTCTGCTCATCTCATTGTTGCATGGAGAGTTGAGGGGAAGGCCCAGGGCTTTTTGCCTGAAGCTACCCAGAGAACAGACCCCAAGAATTTAAATCTGTGCCTCACATCTCGTGTGTTCCCTGCACAGGGTGGTGTGGTTTGAAGTGTCAGTGTGAAGGATGGTGCTGCTGAGCATGAGTGACAGTGACTGGAGCTGTGCTGTGCTTGAGGGAGAGACTTCCAGAGCAGATGGAAATACTGCAGATCTCATCAGAGTGGGAGAGGGAGCACTGCTGAAGATATTTCCAGAGAAAGCCCTGTGCTCCCTGGAGGGGGCTATGAAAGTCTTGAGGCCATTGTGGCCAGTAGAGTAGATGCACCCCAGGGACAGCTGAGACTTTGCAAGTGATTGTGTTCTGTTGTGATTCAGTGCCATTTTAATTGCATTAGTAATATGAAGTGTCAGCTGTGCAGAGGAAAAGTGGGATGCACAAATTTTCTTGGAAGCGAGTAAGTTCACCCAAAAATTGTGAGCCTGAAGCTCAAGATACAGAAATGTTTCTTTTTGGAGGGAAAACCAAAACTGATGGCATTTTTCTGATTACAGCTTTGTTGCAGATGTTGAAATTTACTGCTGTAAAATAGGTGTGCATACACATATGTAAATTTGTGTGTGTGATTATATATATATTGTTTGGAAAGAGAGTGTGTGGGTGCAATTAAAGATAAGACGCTTGCAAGGGTGTGGAGATGCAGCATTAACCAGATGGTGTGACACATCAGGCACCTTTACAGGGATTGGAAGAAAACGTCTTGTATTTTCATGGACACAAGAGAAAAGGAAAAAAAGTGTAGAGCAAATTGCTGTGAATAGTAATTCCTGTGTCCTGCAGCACAGAGCAGCTACAGGTACAGACAAAAAAAAGACCCTAGCCCAAACCAAGAATTTGCCTTAGAAAGTGGCTTTGAACATTTTATTTTTATATATATGATGGATTTAGGTAAAGAGTTGGAGCTGAAGGGAAAGGGTGGGGAGAAGTAGGGAATAAGACCATGTGTAAAAAATCTGGCTTTTTTTAAAGAACGGTTTCCAATTTGAATTATGTTGGTCCAAGAGGCTTTGCAATTTTTCTGCATCTTGTCATGGGAGGCAGCTTTCACACAGCTGTTGAGCTGCTGCTGCTGCTTTTCTTTCTAAGAGTAATTTGGTCTCTTGGAGGACGGCCTTAGTTTCACATCATGGCAGGGTTCTTCCTTTTATTGTTTTGGTATCTAAGCAGAGTAAGATACTTATGTGATATTTGGGCTTAATGTTTTCAGGTTATAAAAGAAGTTTTTCTTGGACACTGAATGTGCTGGTAGTTCTGATTGGATTTATTCACGCATATGAGACTCAGGAGTGTCTGAGAAACAGCTGAAGTTGCGATTAAGACTTTAAATCTTGTGAGGCTGGTTTTTTTCTTTGAAAGACAATGAAGTACTAATCTGAAGAAACTCAGGCTCCTTTTTTCTACCTCAAAACTATGCAAAGATAACTCTCTTCAGAAAAACCATTTAAACTGGTCATATTGATACTAAGTGCTCACATTGTTTGACATATTCATTGCACTGTAAACAGACACATGGATTTTTTTGTGTACTGAATTATGTGAAAATACAAATGAAAGCAGCAAGAGCATGGTCAATGATGATCAAAAGCAGAAAAAAAAAAAAAAAAGGACAAAACCGGCAATCCTGTAAAAACTAAAATCTTTGTGTTGGCATCTTGAGGAAGCTTTGTTCACCCCATGAAGAAAATCTCCCAAACTAAATCTAGGGTAACTGAATGCCAAACATGTCTAGGGTGGATAATCATAGTGTGTGCAATTAGTAGAGACTCTTGTGCAAGGATGCTAACCCAGAGTATTCAGAGAAGGTGTCCTGACATGTCTGTTCAGTAAAAGATCTCCTGGCTTGCAGTTGGCATCTGTGGTTGTCATTATTTGGGGTGTCTTCTAACATTAGTTGTGCCAAATGCAGAATATATTGTGTTAACTCATTTGAAAAACAAGAGACTGCATCCCTCTCCACAATCCAGACCACCTTCACAGAGTGCCCTGCTGATCCAGGAGCTGCATGTCCCTGCTTTCCCAGCTCACCAAGGAGAGCAGCTGGACCTCTGCATGGAGCACTTTGCAGAGACTGTCTTGTGAGCAGTTCTGAGCACTTGTCTGTTCTGAGCACTGGCTTTGAATGCTAGAGGTGGGAAATTAATGTGTCAAGAGCTGTGACGGTAGAACACTCTCTACCTGTTCAAAGAGTAACTGTAGAGGAACTGAGACAGCACATCTTGAGGACTTGACTGTGTCTTGTGTAAGCAGTGTGGAGCTACTGAACTGGCACATCCATACAAGGGTGCTCATTTGCTAAAAGATCCTGTGTGTTAAAGGGCATATGGTGAATCCATTTTGTTCCTGTGCACAGCTACAGGATATTTGCCTCACCAGGGTGTGTGTCTTTCTTGATGGCAGTGTTCTAAACCTTGTAACATCCATGATTTAAGTATGTTTTGGTCTGGCACTTACTTTTCTTCCTCTTTGACTAGGATGGAAGTCGTGATATCTTCATTGATGGAGTGGTTGCTCGCAACAGAGCCCTGAACGGTGACATCGTGGTGGTGAAACTGCTTCCCAGAGATCAATGGAAGGTCAGTTCAGTATATTCTTGCTGTGATTTGAGAGAAAGAGCTTATTACAATTTTCATCACTGAACTTGTAGGGCCTGAGACAGAGAACAGAGAATTTGCTACAAATCAGATTAGCTAAATTGAGTTTATGCTGCTGTTCATTAGAAGACTTTATTCATTACTATGTTTGGAAGAAGTGATACCTGAGGCGTTGAAACCTCATTCTTTGCATGGAATGGCCTTCATTATCACTGTATGGGAAAGTCTGATAATGAGACTGGTTCTGAGCACAGTTGTCAGAGGTGACTTCTGGTATCTGCTATTTGGCTGTCTTCATGCTGTGATGTTTTGGATAGCGCTGTGTAGGTGTTTGCAATTGCTCATGTATTTGACAAGTGTTCACAAAGCTTTAGTTATGATTAACTCTCTCTGATTATTGAGTCCTCAGTCCATGAAAAGCTTATCTTGTCACAGCTCCAGATATTGTGGTAATACCCTTCTTTACATGAATGAAGCATGTGTGAAATGACTGGAGCAATACAAATGTGGGACAATTGCTTTCATTTTCATGTCTGAGGATTTCACTAAGATCACTGTCTGGGCTTATATTTTTTTTCCCTACTGATGAAATTTCTTTCCCTAATCAAACTTTGTCCTTTCAAATATCTACATAATTTTGTCTGCAGGTTTATCTTTTAACACTACTATGCAAGGGCAGTTTTCAATCCTTTTCTATAGCTGCTGAGAGATGGAAGCTACACTTGGCAATTTTAACTTGGGTTTTCACATATAAGCATGACAGAACCCCCACAAATTGTTTTCCAAACATGGTTTTTGAAACCTTCTTGAGAGTTTAAAGACCGTTGTAGATCTTTCAGACAAAAGTAATAGTCAGGATGTTTCCAGCAGAGTGGGGACTGGTCTGAACTACTTTGGCCTGGTGCTTTTTACTCAGTCTAGCTGCCTTCTCTACCTGTCTTTGTTTGAAGCAATATGTTCTTAGACTTGAAATGCAAGGTGTTTATTCTGGTCATTTGCTAAACCTTCTATCTATTCGTTTAAATCTAATAACCATTGAAATGATGGTTTGAAACATATTAGAACTTGTCTCTTCCTTTCAAGTATGCATAAAATGAGGGAATTACCCAAGTATTGATACATGTAAGTACAAAACTAAACCTAATACAAAAAGCAGTCATAAGTGGGATCTAAGGTATTAAGGTATATCAATATACAAATAAAAGAAAGAGGTCTGCTGCTATCTTGGTAACCTCTGAGAACCAGTTTTGAGGGTCAAAGCCAAATTTCTTCAATAGTTATTCAAGACTTCAAGTCAGTGTTCACTAAAACTATGTTGATAACTATGTGTTTTGATCACCAAGTCCATATATGCAAGTTATCTTTTGTATTAAACCATTCCATATAGATGGAAAAATGGAATAGTTTGGATGCTTAGATCCTTTGCCAGGACCTGCCAGCACAAGGGCTTCTTTGTAGGCTTGATAGAGGTTGCCTGAGCTGGAAGCTTGGTCTGCAGTTTTCCTTTTATATCTGTCTCTAAAGAAAGATAATGCCTCTCCCTCTATCTTCTATTCTCATACCTTCATATGTTCAATAGTAATGATCTTTTATGAACACAAGAGGAAGGATTCAGAGTGTTATCCCTGTCCTGGGAAAATGCATGAATAAATACAATTGTTAGAGAAGTGGTATCTGACTGCAAGGAAGCCATTCAAAATACTTGAGTGTTTTGTAATATGATTATGATTCTTCTGTGGTGAATTTAACCTTGCCAAATGAAGTAGCTGGAGCATGCCAGTCATGTTTTTCAGCCACACAGGTGCTGCCCTGTGTAGTCTCATTTTTTGTTTCTTGCCATCAGCAACTCAATCAGTGATGACATCCCTTTTCCCCTGCTCCCCAAATCTCTTGCTATGTGCTCATGTTTGTATTAGTTCTTTGGGAAAGGTGCCACTAAGTTGCACTGAAAGATATTGCCTTTTGCCAAGTAATTCATATACTGATTAATGATAAACTGTCTCAACTTATTTTAGGTTTTTCCATTTGTTTAGTCTCATACTGCTGCAAAGCTGCCACTTAGGTGTATTGAGGGTTTTCTCCCTCCTGCTGGGCCTTTGGAGCAAGCTGAAGAGCTTCAGTTATTTCTCTGAAAAATGTAAATCAGATATATGGTATAACTGATGCTCTCAGAGGAGGCTTTACAGGCTCTGTACATATTGGTTTGTTAGGATTGAGATGTGTGTGCTGATTATTTTTATGGTTTTCTATTCCAACACATTACCCTGTGCTCCACTGAGAATTGAGCTGGGTTTTTTGCTGTTGTACCAGTTTCTTGCACAAGATAAGGCTGTTGTTTCAGCAGTGTGCCTTCTGGGTTTCCAGCACCCTGGATGGCCTCTGGATGCTCTGGGGGAAGATCTTCCTGTGCAGGTTCCGTGGATCTTCTCCCACAGTCACAGTGTATTGCTGTGTTCCAGAAAAGGCAAGACTTAGCTGGCACCTTGGTTCAATTTATATGTGTAAATGGGAGGAAAAGGGAAAATCTGTGACTGGTAACAAACCATGGATTTTGGATAGAGAAACCTGTGTGTTTGGAATTGCTGAGAAAAATTAGGAGCTGCCCTGTCCCTGGTGAGTTGGTTATCATTGCAGGTGAAGTGCCTGTGAGGGAAGAGACACCAGCTGGAGAACAGTTTCTTCAGGTTTATACTGTGTCTCACTGAGCTATAATGGTGATACCCTACACACAGGTATAAATGCCACAGTGAAATGTAAGGGGATGGTGAAATACGCTGAATGTGTGATTATAATTTATGTAATACCTTCTTGAGAGAGACAGCAATATTTTCTCTCTCCAGCCTTCTACTTCTTGGCTCAGTGATGGGAAATTTATCAGGCTTGAATTTCTCAACATCATGTCCTTCCCAGCATGTGCATCAATTGCTTGGATGAGCTACCGTGGTCCTCCCTGTGCTCATTCTGTCTGGTGTTAAAGCTCTGTTTGTTCACGTGTCTGCTGGGAGAGCTGCCCGCTCTTCAGCGATGATCAGTTTGTCAGTTCATAATTCTCTGCTTACCATTAGTTCTGATCAAGAGCCAAAAATTTCAGTGTGGCACCACAGACCTGAAGGAGAGACTTTTTGTCCCTGAAATTTGTTATCTTGCTCTCCTGAAGGAGGTGGCCATCAGCTTCCTGCCAGACTTGAGTGGTGTGTGTTGCGGTGACCGCATTTGGAGGCTGCGTTTCAGAAGTTCCTCTCCTGTCCTCTTGTGTTACATCTTGGGAATATCGAGGTGCTATGGTAACTTTCAAATATTTAGCTTTTGCAAAGTAAGGTATTTGACTTAGGCTGTTTTTCCAGGTACTTAACCTACTCTTAGCAAATGAAGTCAGAGTATCGTTGCAGTTTGCAAGACTGTCTCCCGACTTCAGGCAGTAGGGCTTCCCTGAGTCTGTGCCTTTATCTTCTGGAAGAACGTCACAATAAAAGATAGCCAGTGACAGGATTTACCTCCTTGTCAATTACTCTGATAAAGAAGAAAAATGGTACTTCATTTTTTGACTCATTTTCACTGCTTAAACTTCCACTCCTAGGTTCCTACTATATTTTATGGAGTTGTGCTTACATCAATTTCAGAAACTTCAATTACTCAGTGGTATAATTACTGGAAGTCAAAGAAAATGTTGATATTATGATTACAGCAATATTTTGTAGGCTCATCAAGGAGGGAAGCAGTGTGTCAGTATAGAGGATAAGCCTAACCTGTTTTTCCTCACAGCCTCTTTTTGCTCTTTTGCCGCCTGCTTAATTGCCAGACAGAATTTGTTTAATTTCAGGTATCTGTTTTGGTTTTTCTTGCAAGATGTAATTTCTTTGGTGGAGGGAAATAGCATAATAAGTCATTTGATATCACTTGGGGCTTGGATTCCTGGCCCAATCCCTGGTGCTTTTAGAGTAGTAGTTTATAATGTGGAATGTTTTTCATGACAACCATCTCATGTATTGCACGCTACAGCTGAAATTTTAGTCTTAGTCTGAAAATAGTACCCAGACAAGGACTTGGTGCTGCCCAAAACTTACAAAAAAGAATTTTGGGGTCTAAATCCCTATTGCTTGCTACAATATGCCAGTGAGGTCTCCAATTTTGCATAAAATACACTGTATATGTAGATAAAATAATTCCTAATTAACCTGCCAGTTTATCAGAAATTAGTGCAAATCAGTGCCTCTATTGTTGTTGTTGTTATTTTATGAATAATTTCCTTATCAGCTTACAGTACTTCTTTGCACAATTTCTTGTTCTTTTGATCTTGACAGAAGGTCTCTAAGGCCAAGGGTATAGAGCTGTTCATTAAGTCCAGTGTGTGTTGTTGGATAATGGGATAATGGGTCCAACATTTTAGTCACCAAGTGTCCAACAGTGATAGAAATTGTAATGCTTCATAGCTCATGAAAGCACATGTTCGGTTCAACACTGAGCTGTCAGATGCAATACAGTGCAGCAGGAGATCTTCAAGCTGCCTCTTCTGAGCCATACATCACAGATAAATATTTAAACACTTTCTGTACAGAAGACATAAAGTACAATTCACTTTTCCCAGCTGTGACTGTTGTTGGCATAATTACAAACAAATGTGAAGAAGGAACAATTTGATTTAAGCAGTCATCACAAATATCACCACGTATAGTTTGAACAGAGCTACGTATCCTGGCAAGTGACTGCCTCCCACTGTTGGTGAAAACCTATGAAGCATTAGTTGTCCAGAGGGGATGCTAGTTTTGGATTTGCCTTTCTGAACAATAATTCATTTCAACCAAATTCTTCTGAGAGTTGAGTTTCTTCTCAAAATCTTGCATCTAATGTAAGGATAACAGTAACTCAGGAGGAGATGAGGTTCTTAGAGGGTTATCACAGCAACACTGTTTGAGTCTAACAATCAAGAATGTTGTTTGGAAACATTACATTTGTAATAATAAAAAAAAAACAGTTCTGGAGAAGTCATTATTGAAATAGTAAGTGTTCTGGCACACTAAAAACATTCAAGTGTAATTCATGATATTCAGGAGTAAAGTGGGAAGCCTAAGAAGCCAGCTAGGAAGATGTCCAGAAAAGCAGAGCTCTAGCAAATCTGAAAGGTTGATGGATGCTGTAAGGGAGGAAAGGCAGTTGTTTTGGTTTTTAAATCTGTTTTGCTGTAGCCTTTACAGTGAGGGCTGTAAGTTGATGGTCACACACAAGTGCGTGCATATCCCTCCCCATCTTGGCAAATCCCCAAACCACAAATTGGTGGAATCTGGAAAAGCTTCATTACATGCTAACTTTCTAATTGTGCCATTCTTTGGCTGGCCACATGTTGTTCCACACTGCTGGGCCTGCTGGGCCTTTGCTGTGAGCTGGCATGGGTCTTCCCAGGCTTTGCTTAGCAGCAGACTGGCTGGACATGGAGTAGCCATGATTGCAAGCAGAAAATAGATAATAGGAAGTGCTGCTCACTGAGACATATGTGGCATTGCAGTTGCTTTCTCACAGATGTCGTTAGCACGTTTTGTTAATCAAATATCACTTGAAGTGAATCAACCAGCATCTTAACACAGTCAGTTTTAATAGCAAGCACTGGCATGCTTTTTTTATGGTGTATAATGATATAATCACAATAATGATCTGCATTCTGTGAGATTGCCATGACCCAGTGCTGCATTCAGCCCTTACCCCCCCTGCATGTGGAAAACAAGGAGGCAGAAACATCAGCCTTTTGGATGTTGCAAGCAACCTTGTCTTCCTGAGAAGGGCCTTTCCTGCCTCTGTCTGTCTGATGGTAAAGCCAAAACCAGGATCCTGAATAATAAAATCACAAGAAAGGTACAATATAGAGTTTTTGAACATTCTAATATTCTTTTTATTCTTCCTCCTTCTGTGCTGAGTAAGAGTGATATAAAAAGGCAAATTGTTTGGTTAGGTAGGAAGACAAACTTCTTTTTATTGACTGTCTGCATCCTGTCCTACCAGTGCAGACAGAGTCACATTGCAGCTGTGGTTTGGCTGCACAGGCACAGAATAAGATAAAAATGTTACTCTTAGGTGAACAATTAAACATTAAATAATCATTCATGACATGTGGTCAGTTGTTACATCCCCAGTGTAATAATAGCAGATGGGGGTGATTTCAGGCTATGTGAGATACTGCTAAATTTCACTGTGTGTTGCTCAAAGAGCTTCATCTTGCATTGAGGCAAGTGCTCTTGGAGCATCTGATCTTACTTTAGAAGAGGAGTCAAGCCAACATTTAATACCTGATGTCTGCTCCTGCTCACTACTTTTTTCTTGGTCACGTAAATATAATCTAGTACAGCAAATTGTTTCCTTTAACAACTAACTTTTCTTTAAGTGATTGTTTTAAACTCTGTTCTTCCAAGTCTTCTGTAAATATGCACATATCACAGTAGATTATTCTTAATCCAATCTCTTATATAACCACTATCATTTTGGACTTTTCTTAGTTCTTGGTTCCTGTGGAATTAGTATTTCTTAGAACTGTTTGTTTTTTGCCAGTTTGGAGACTTATTTGATGATATCACATGAGTATTTGGAGCCTGCACCTTATAAAAGTCAGGATACCTGTTGCTGATGGGATTGGTTTTTAGAAGGTCATGCACATTAAACTCATTTTACTTTTCATAAACGCTTTCTTCAGAGACTGTCCAGATTTTCTGTAGTCTGGGTTTCTTTCTGATCTGCATAATTAGCAATAACTTTAAATCAACTGTACTGATACTAAAAGTCTCATCTGGCCTAAACCTGGTACAGTGAATGTCATACTCTGTTTTTTTTTAAGGAGACTGTATTCCTAGTTCAGCTTAATAGCTGGTGAAATGAAGAGCTGCTACGACACTAAAAACCCGATGATCTTTAAGTCCTGAGGTGATGTGGTTTTGGATTGTATCCCTAAGTTCTGAAGAATAGGAAAAGTGCTGCATATCTATTTGCATGTTTGCTCTTGTTATTGGCTGTCAGAGAAACAGCATTTGGCTGCAGTATTTACATGTGGTCAAAGCTACTGAGGTTGGCTTATTAACTCTTTACCCTTGTTTCCTTAACTCCTGTTTATTTTTCTTAAGGACATAAATCAGAGGGACAAGGAATCTAAAATAGAGGTGATTTATGTAAATGAAGAATTGCAGCAGCTGGAGGAGTGACGGGGACTTTTCTACAATTAGGTTCTTTGGGGTAGGATGTGGGACCTCATTTATGACCACATGATTCTTGGAGATAAGAAGGATATTTGTCATCAGGGATGGGATGCATTAAATTTGTTGTTGGTAATTTGTAATCATCTAAGATAAAGGTATCTGTAATCTAAT